CCCTTAATTCGGCTCCGCCGGCTCCCCACGAGTTCGGCTCCGCCGGCTCCACACGAGTACGCTGACAAATGCGTCACGAGCGTCCCAGAGCGACTAGAGCTCTATGGTGAAGCGCGCCCCAAGCCGCCGACCCTCCGACGCCGGGCCCCGAAAAACACCAAAAATCCTTCAGGAGGGTGGGGGAGAGGTTTTTGGACGGAATCCGGGTCGCTCATCAGCGTCTCCAAGAGCATCCCCCCCCCCCGTTTTGAGGGTACCTAAAATCGGAAAAAAGCGCCGTTTTGACACATTTTTCGGACGATTTTTCGCTTTTCGAAAGTCACAAAATGCTGTATTTACAGCATTTTTGCGTTTTAACGTCTTTTGCGGGAGCCATGCAAAAACGCAGAAAATGCTGTAAATACCAATACTTTTTAGACCCGAGATGCACAAAACACTGCAAATACCAGTGTTTTTGAAAGCAAAGCAAAAAAACAGTGTAAATTACAGCATTTTTGGCAAGTTGATCGCAAAAAATGCTGGTATTTACACTGTTTTTGCAATTTCAAGAAAACGTGGAAGGCACGAAACACTGTAAATAGCGGTGTTTTAGCCACTTTTGGCGCTGAAACGCTGGTATTTACACAGTTTTTTGCCCGTGACGGCGCCAAACCCCTGTAAATTACAGCATTTTTTGCACTTTTTGAACCGATGTTTTGCCTTGATGAACGCAAAAAACGCTGGTATTTACGCGTTTCCCAAAAAATCGAAGATCGTGACGTGAACGAAACCCTGTAAATAACAGTGTTTTAGCCACTTTGGGGGACTAAAACTGTGGTATTTACGCGGGTTCTTGCCAGCTGACAGCGCAATATGCTGTAAATTACAGCACTTTGTGCGCTGTTTATGTTCAATTTTTAAACGCGCGATGCTTTCACATGTTCTTTGCATTATTTTGCACTCTTCCACAAGAAACAACGTTGCAGATTGAAACTGGACGACAGCGTGACCCGAAAGAAAGCTGGAGGGAGGAGACGCACAGAAGCTTTTACCCACACACACAGGGGCTTTTACACAGAGAAGTCTTTACACAAAGGAGCTTTTTACATACAGAAGGTTTTACACAGAGAAGTCTTTACTCTAAGGTGCTTTTGCAGACAAACGTCTAGGATCTTTTACTCACAGAAGTTTTTACACGAAGAAGTCTTTACACAGAGGGCTTTTTACACACAGACGCGTTTGCACACAGAAGCTTTTACACAGAGAAGCCTTTACACAGAGGAGCGTTTACACACCAAAGAGTTTGCACACAGCAAGCTTTTACACACGCAGGGGCTTTTACACAGAGAAGCCTTTACACAGAGTAGCTTTTTACACACAGAAGGTTTTACACAGAGAAGTCTTTCCTCTGAGGAGCTTTTTCACACAAACGTCTTGGAGCTTTTACACACAAAAGCTGTTACACAAAGAAGTCTTTACACAGAGAGCTTTAACACACAGACGCGTTTACAAACAGAAACTTTTACACAGAGAAGCCTTTACACAGAGAGTTTTTACACACGGAAGCTTTTACACACAGAGAAATCTTTACACAGACGTGCTTTCACACAGAGAAGCTTTTACACAAAGAAGTCTTTACACAGAGAATCTTTTACACACGGAAACTTTTACACACAAAAGCTTTTACACAGAGAAGTCTTTGCACAGAGGTGCCTTTACACGAAGTAACAAGTTGAAATCGGCAGCAGTTCTTTAGGAAAAACCCTTCGCAGGAGCTTTCGGGAACTCACTTGCTCCCCAAAAAATCGTCTATTCCAACAAATATGTTCCAAAAAACCTAAGGAATATATTTCTGAAGCAGGTCCTCATTCAGTAACTTTCACGCCCACACTGCGATGAAATGAAGGGCCGAGTGGTCCGGCGGAGCCGACGAGGGGCGTCAGCCCAAAATTCGGCTCCGCCGGCTCCCCACGAGTACGCTGACAAATGCGTCACGAGCGTCCCAGAGCGACTAGAGCTCTAAGGTGAGGCGCGCCCCCAACCGCCGACCCTCCGACGCCGGGCCCCGAAAAACACCAAAAATCCTTCAGGAGGGTGGGGGAGAGCTTTTTGGCCGGGATCCGGGTCGCTCATAAGCGTCTCCAAGAGCATCCCCCCCCCCCGTTTTGAGGGTACCTAAAATCGGAAAAAAGCGCCGTTTTGACACATTTTTCGGACGATTTTTCGCTTTTCGAAAGTCACAAAATGCTGTAAATTACAGCATTTTTGCGTTTTAACGTCTTTTGCGGGAGCCATGCAAAAACGCAGAAAATGCTGTAAATACCAATACTTTTTGGACCCAAGATGCACAAAACACCGCAAATACCAGTGTTTTTGAAAGCCAAGCAAAAAAAACACTGTAAATTACAGCATTTTTGGCAAGTTGATCGCAAAAAATGCTGGTATTCACAGTGTTTTTGCAATTTCAAGAAAACGTGGAAGGCACGAAACACTGTAAATAGCGGTGTTTTGGCCACTTTTGGACGCTGAAACGCTGGTATTTACACAGTTTTTTGCCCGTGACGGCGCCAAACCCCTGTAAATTACAGCATTTTTTGCACTTTTTGAACCGATTTTTGCCTTGATGAACGCAAAAAACGCTGGTATTTACGCGTTTCCCAAAAAATCGAAGATCGTGACGTGAACGAAACCCTGTAAATAACAGTGTTTTAGCCACTTTGGGGGACTAAAACTGTGGTATTTACGCGGGTTCTTGCCAGCTGACAGCGCAATATGCTGTAAATTACAGCACTTTGTGCGCTGTTTATGTTCAATTTTTAAACGCGCGATGCTTTCACATGTTCTTTGCATTATTTTGCACTCTTCCACAAAAAACAACGTTGCAGATTGAAACTGGACGACAGCGTGACCCGA